TGTTCTCCCTCGCTAGGTTCGCCAGCCAGGTTCAGTAACCAGGTTCTAGTCAGGTTCTCTAGCCATGTTCTATCCAGGTTCTGTAGCCAGGTTCTGTCTCTAGGATCTTCAGCCAGGTTCTCTCGAGTTTCTGTCTTGCCAGTTTCTGTCCAGGATCTTTTGCCATGTTCTCCACTAGGTTCTGTCTCTTGGTTCTGTGTCTAGGTTCTTCTTCTGTCTCTAGGTTTTGTGTAGGTTCTGTCTTCTAAGTTCTGTGTCTTGTCTTGTTACATCTGTATTTATACCAGTTGATTCCAATCCTATCAATCTCTATTCCAAAGGTTAGGGCGTGGCCGCCTGGCACTTAGTGAAGGGGTTTTATTCCCTCCCTAACTTCAGGGGAAAATCCCTACCTAGGGAAACAACCTTTCTCGGAGAGGTGACCTTGGTGAAAACACATAGTGCCAAGAAGGTGAGCAAACATATTAAGAACAGTATGCCATATGCCAGGTCCCTTGAAACAGCAAGGATGGACCGGCTCCCGGCAATCCTGGTCTCCATCACATTGCAGGGTTCTACAAGTCAGTGGAGTTCAGAAGTTCTGAGCAACTATATAAAGCATTAGTAGACAGACTGGTATATTTACATTAGGTTTGTGCATGTCTATGCACTTCATTTGATTTAGCTTGAGCTCTTTTCCTACTTCTGCATTTCTGCTGCCTTCTGCCCTGATCCAGACTTATCTCACCACCCTCATTCTAGGTTACACACTGCTGACAAAACTTCCCTTTCATAAACCTAGTCTCTACAACAGTAGAGACCACCAGCCAGTGGATTCTAGTATAGTCAGGGGACAAAGCAAACATCGTGACCGCTGTAAACTTCTCCCTCTGGTTCAAAAATGGGGCAATACCTGAGGCATCTTCCTTGTTTTTCCATGGGCTATAACCCCCCATGACCAGCATTGTACTGGGACCCCCAGATGACGGTATGCTTCCCAGAGGATCCACGCCTTTGCTGCTTTTGCTGCCACTGCCACCACTGCCTTCAGGCAAACCACACTCAATTGGGCCCCCAGGGGGCGCTGCAAGGAGACACAAGCCTGCACCCCAGAAAGGCCCAGACAGCTCACCCCATGCTGTCTACTTCAGAATTGCCTCATGAGTGCAGCCTGGTCACCCACTAACAAGCAGACGCCTGCCCTGTGCAGCTCAAAGAAGTTGCCCTTTTTCATCCCATGTCTAGCGCTTTTGCTGCACCTGTTTTCTTTCCTTCTCTCACACAGCTATGGGACCTTGTGGACTTGGGGGGCCAGGTGCAGCAGTCACCCCGGCTTCCTGTGGTCTCCTTAGTTTAGTCTCCCATTCCAATCCTCCTATCTGAGAACCCAAGGCCTTCCCTTTCTCTAGAAAGAGTGAAGACTCTCCTTATGAACCAATCTGCATGGGTCCCTACAGCCCAAGAGATAACTTCTGCAAGATCATCCAGATATCCTGGACATTTGAAAGAAAATTCCCCCTGGACTGGTTAATGCTATTCATCTGTTATATAATACCTTTATTCAAGAACCCGCAAGCAGTTCTTGTTTTCAAAAACAAGCTCCTCTGACTAACTTTAAAGACCCTTTACTCTGACTGCACCCTCCCTTCCACTCTGCCTCCCAGAACCCCCCAGGCAGAACTGGCTGCTCACCACTCTCTTCTCAAACCTCTGTCTCCTTCTTACTTTCTTATGTGTTTCCCTCCACCTCATCTCCCCCTAGCCAAACCCTTTTCATCCACTGCAAAGCCCTTTTAATCCTCAGGAGTCCCCTGACTTGGATTCCTCAAGTCCACCTTGAACTTGCCTTTATTCCTGGAGCATTATTGTAAAATACGTTACTGTAGTTCTCAACCCTGAATGGAGTACTTTTTAAAATGTGCTTGCCTGAGCCCCCACTCCTGAGGATCCTTATTCTAGAGGCTTCTGGAGCTTTTGAAAGCTCCCTGTGTGTTTCTGATGTGCAGCCAAGAATGAGAAACACTGCTTTAGAAACGTGCTATCTTATGATTTTATATAATTGCCTTTTATGTCTAAGCCTTGTTTCCCCAAATAGACTGTAAATTGATCAAATACAGAAGCTATAGATGTAATTTTTCTGTGCCCTCTACACAGTCTTGTCTACCAGGCATACGTAGGTGCTCAGTGATCACTTAAATGATGGACTGATTGATTCAGCATGGTGTTGGGTAACAAGCTCTTGGATAGGAAAGAGGAAACCTGAGATCTGTTCCTGACTCTGTAACTAGCAAGCCAGTATCCTCTGCGGATTTCCTCTTGCCTATTTGTAAAATGAGGGTGCTAATTGGGTTTGCAAACTCCTGGGAGCTCAAAGGAAACAGTAGAAGCTCATGAGTTATTTTCACTATTTCAAAAAGCCATTGAAAGTTATACAGTTCATATCAATCTGCAGATTCATAATCTATCAAAAATGTATTAATGAATGACAATGAGGAGAAACAATAAAAGGAATCTTTAGTTGTGAAAAAGTTTAAAAGTACTTTGAAAATTACAGGGTTCCATTTGCTTCATATTTATGATCCAGATCCCCTGGGAGAGATAGTAGAACAGAGCAAAGTAAGGAATTTGGAGTTAGATTAACTTGGATTCTAACAACATAGTAGCTGTGTTAACTTGAGCAAGTTCTTCTCCTCTCTAAGCCATTCCTTCATCTGAAAAATGGATTTACTGATAGTAGCTATTGCACAGAGTTGTTATAAGGCTACATAAATCGATACCTTTAATGCATTGTCTGGCACATAGCAAGTGCTCAATAAATGTTACCTGAAGTATAGTATTAGTCTTCTCAGGTTGCCATAAAAATATCATACACTGTACACATATACAATGGAATATAACTTGGCCACAAAAAGAATGAAATCGTACTGTGTGTGACAGCATGAATGGCCCTAGAGGGTATTATACTAAGTGAAATAAGTCAGACAGAGAAAGACAAATGCCATGTAATTCCACTTATATGTGGAGTATAAAGAGCAAAATAAATGAACAAACAAAATAGAAACAGACTCATAGACACAGAGAACAGGCTGATGATTGCCAGAGGAGGAGTGGTTGTTGGGAGGCTGGATGAAAAAGGTTCAGGGATTAAGAACTACAGGTTGGTAGGTACAAAATAGTCATGGGGAATATAGTCAATAATATTGTAGTAACTATGTATGGTGCCAGGTGGGTACTTAAATATCAGGGGACCACTTTGAAAAATATATAATTATCTAACCACTATGCTGTACACCTAGCACTAATACAAAATAGTATTTAATATACACTGCAATTGAAAAGTAAAAATTTTTTTAAAAGCACAGACTAGCTTAACAACAGACATTTACTTGCTCACAGTTCTGGAAGCTGGAAGTCCAAGATCAAGGTTCTGACATATTCAGTTCCTGAAGAGAGTTGTCTTCCTGGCCGGTAGATAACTGTCTTGCTGTAGTAACTATGTATGGTGCCAGGTGGGTACTTAAATATCAGAGGACCACTTTGAAAAATATATAATTATCTAACCACTATGCTGTACACCTAGCACTAATACAAAATAGTATTTAATATACACTGCAATTGAAAAGTAAAAATTTTTTTAAAAGCACAGACTAGCTTAACAACAGACATTTACTTGCTCACAGTTCTGGAAGCTGGAAGTCCAAGATCAAGGTTCTGACATATTCAGTTCCTGAAGAGAGTTGTCTTCCTGGCCAGTAGATAACTGTCTTGCTGTCTTCTTCCTGTAGTGCACGT